TGACTCCCTACTGGTCACCGATTGTCCAAAAAACACCTATAAGTAGAAAATTGAGAAAGAGATTGCGTACATAATTGCGTCTACTAGTCAAAAAGGCAAACATGAACGTCTTCTCACTCATTGCAAGTAGTATGGGCTTATGTAAATTCAGCAACTGGTCACTTGGTTGCATGTGCGGCTGTTAACTAGGATGCTTGGTAAGTGTCGAGTTCGCACTTAGATGAATCCATGCAGGAGAAGAGTACAATATCAATGGGCAGGCGTTCCACGCCGTAACCACTCTGTTTACGAAGAAAAACCCAAGTACATTGATCTTTGCTTTGTCTGTGCGTAGTTTTAGGGGAAAGCCCGCAAGGCAGGCGTTAGCCCGAGTGAAAAAATCACTGGTGACAAAGCAGTAGTCCGTGCCATTTATAATGCGGAAGGTTAGTATGAGATCACCGCGTAGTTGCCTGTGGGAAAGTGGAAATAAGCTGTAGCTTGACAGACTGTTATCATAGGGTAGTGCTCCCAGACCTTTGGTCAATTTGTCGCCGCCCCCGGACCGTCCCTAAGACGGTACAGTCCTTAACAGTCCAAGGTCCAAGGTCTCCATGCCTCTGTGGCGTATGCCAGATGCGGCCGCACAAAGGTTCCAACTATTTTATAAAAGCTGTCCTTGTCAAATCCCATAAAGGCTCACCTAGTGAGTTGCAATGTAGCTTGTAGTGGACAGCCATAATGGCTACGCGCGCCTCTCGCTAGCGCCTGCACCTACGTCCTAGCGACAGCCTGCTACAGCACGCACGTCTGCCCGACTTCGATTTGTCTCGTTCCAATTCACTGTCTGCACCACGCATCTGGTCGATACTCTGCCTGCACCATGCGAGGCTTGTCACTACCCTCGCGCAGGTTCGGAGCCAATCAACGCAACTCCTCTCGCTGATTGGTAACACAGGTGGGAACAGCCCAGAACACTAGCGTAAACAATCTGCCAAGACACTTTTGCAGCGACGACCTTCGGCGACACAGGGCTCTTCGCTCTCGCGGACGCCGCCTCCGCGACGCCGGACGCATCCTCGTCCGGTTGCCAACTTTCCCCTTCACTACTCTGTACAGAATAAAGTGTCCTAACCAAATGGCGTCCTGCTTCGAACAACTTGGGATATAGTCTGAAGTTGTGGCGTACTGAGCGCACACCATCACCGCTTAGCCGCTAAAGCTATAGCCGACTTAGCCGCCTGCGCGCAATTCAGTGTTGGTTCGAGTGAAGATGTAATGAACATACCCATTTCCCTCTGACTGTCAACTTGTTGCAGTGGTGTGCCGTGAGCGAAGTAAGTCTTGGGGCTGGAGGCTCTGCAGCTCTCGAGTTGAAGAAAGTTGAACTTATTTACATTGAAGGGCATAATCAAGTGCTTCGACCAGGCCTCAAACCTGTTCAAGTTTATTAGCGGCTGGTCTCCGTCTGCCGCATGGTCAACAACTTTCCACAATTTTATGTCGTCAGTGATCAGGACGACGCCACGGTCTAGATCACTGTCGCAGTCTTTGATGAAAACAAGGGATAACGCGGGCCCTAAAACTGAGCCATGTGGGACGCCATTCAGTACGCTTAACTCTGAGGACTGCTGGTGTCCGACCTGCGTTCTTTGGGACCGCCCAGTTAAAAAGTTCTGGATCCATACCAGGAGGCTTCTACGAACACCTATACTGCGCGGTTTATGCAGGAGACGCCAATGAGGATAGCTGTCGAAGGCCTTTCTGAAGCCGATTTAGATAGCGGCATCACATTGCCTTCGTCAAGTGTTTTGGGTACAGCGTTCCAGTGAGAAGAGCAGATTCGTGAGACAAGACCTTCCACTTCGAAAGCCGTGTTGGGCTTCGGAGAGGGGGCGATTCTGCTCATGGAACTGCATCAACGCTTTCCTAATGACTTTTTTCACGATTTTTCAACAGATGGAGGTAAGGCTCACGGGCCTGTAGTTTTTCGCGGACGCCCGACTTCCACTCATAAGCGGCGGAGTAATATGCATCTTTCCATTGCCTTTTGAAGTGCGTATAGTTCAAAATATATTACATAAAACGTGCGCGAACTATTCTTTGTTATACTCGTTTGGCGACGAATTGCGTCTTCCGTAAACTTTCCCCTTGAAGAGAGAGTATCCTTCTACTGTAAAAGTTTTCTACTTATGAGGTTTTTTAAGACCACGAAATGTTCATTCATACAACATCACATCAGTACGTTTAGTAAACCTACTTATAAAGCTTAGAGAAATGTTTGTTATTCTTTTCACAAAATGAATACAACATATAGTTTAGAAACGCTGAATACAACTTTAACGTCAGGAGGACGAAAAACTATTCGGGCATTGAAAATGTTTTTAAAAACAGAAAGGTACTCCCTCTTCAAGTAAAGATATTCAAAGAACACACATGTGCATGTTTCTGTAATATATACTTCAATATATAAGGGTGTCGAAAGTCAACGAGAAAAATGCATACTACATAAGTAATAATTTTTTACAGAGTGTAGGTTTTGCAACGGCCGAAAAGAAGCTCATTCAAAGGCCGAAATTCTAGAATAACTAACATGTCTTAGCATTATGTCACACGATAATTAACCTTATAACACCACTTAAGTAATCTCTCTGAATAGAAGAATCATTTTAGAATTTTGGTTGGCATTTCATGAGATAGCACATCTATTGTGTACGACATTTCGACCGTCGTCTGAGACGATGCCCACCGCGTGATCCACTGCAAGGTGAAGCAGGCACGGTGACTTCCGGGTGGATTTGTTTACAGTGAGAGTAGACTTGCGAAGCATCTATTGCACTCCCCCCTCCTCCCCACCTGGACCCGGTGTCAAGACGTAGTCAAGAAGATCGGAGGGGGAAGATGACGTAGTTGGTTGGCACGGCGGGACCCGCGCCTAGGCGTACCACAACACTTCTTGGTTCACAACAAACAAACACATGACCAGGATTTTAACCAACAACAACAGCAACACCACAACAGGCCAGAAGGACGACGAGCATGACTGGGCAGTCATGCTCACGGCCTGTATACCCAGCGGGAGCGCAAACGCATCTACCGGCAGGGAACCAGGGGCCAGAGATCTGTCAGGGAACACTAGACTGCGGGGGCCATGGTTTGCTGATCATGGCATAACAGAAGCTCAAAATCCTGAAGACCCAGAAGGGTGAGGGACAGCACTGCACTTAGCCTGGACAATCACCCTTCAAAGGCTCGGTAGCCAGTCAGTAATCGACTGGGAGACACTACTCATAAGCAGACACGCACACTCCTGACATGCGTGAGAGTGCTAGAGGTCACGTTAGAAATGAGCCGTTACAGCTTGGTCCTCAGCCCACAAGTCCGCTACTCCACACAAACACACAACTAGGCAGACGGTGTGGAGTGAGTTGAGGCGTCACTCGGCAACCTCCCAAGCCATGATGCTCGACGCACCGTGATGGTCTCGGGCTCGGATCACAAATGCAGCAGAGAAGCCACATGGAGAAGGGACCGAGAGGCACACTTCCCATTTAAGTGGGAGGTGTCAATTGAGTGCTTGCATTGTGTGGCGATGGGTAAGTTTGTTGTGTGGTGCAGATGCTGGTGGGGAAGGTGTGATGCTGTAGTATAGCCGCCGGTTGTCTACCTCAGGTTTTCGGAAATGCACATGTGGCCTTGCGGGCCCGTGCGGTGGCTGAATGCTCGAGGGCAGTTAGGCCAGTTGAGGCAAAGTGGTGAATGTAGGTTGATGCTCAAGGCACTGGTTCGCCAATCTCTGTGGGATTGATTCGCAAGTGACCGATCAGGCCGATGGGTGACGTACATGTGCGATCGCAGTGCGGACAGGTATGGACGGAGTCCACGTCGCTGGAGGTGGGGCTGCTGGTGGTAATGGCAGCAGGTGATGGTACGCCGAATGGCATCCCAACGGTGGGGGAAGTGCGTGGTGTCGTGGTGTTGTTAGATCTGGTCGCTGTGGTCGACAAAGTGGTTGGGGCAGTACTGATGACGTCGGTGATTTATGGCGGCGGGGCAGCGACAGTGTGATTGGCGGTGACGGGAGTGGCCGTCGTCGCGGGACTCGGGCAAGGGTGAGATGGGGGAGAGGAAGTAGGCACTGTCCGGTTGTTGGCGCATTGAGGTTGAAGATGTCCTACGGGACCGATTGGTGCCGGACCGTTCGTTGACACCCTAGGCATGTTGCAAGCGGCAGACTGTTGGCGCCCGGAAGTCAAGGCACTTGTGACCCTTCCTTTTGGCTTTTGGCGACAGCGATACAGTTTGCTTACCACAAAGACCACATTATGAAGGAGCCATTGCAGCCTGACTCTCAGACTACCAGCCGGCCACTCCACACAAACACACATAACACTGGTCGACTGCGAGGTTCAAGTTATCCCGTCAGTGGGCAACCTTCCAAGCCACGGCTTTTAACGTATCGTGCTAGCTTCAAGCCCGTCAGATTGTTTATAGCGAAGAAAAATGCGCTGAGTCGTCTACCGCACTCTTCCTTCCCAGTCCCGTGCCTCAGCCACTGTCCGAGCCGTTCAGTTGACTAGAGCGGGGAACGGGCGCGGTGGCTGACATGGTCTAGTGATCCTGTCTGCGCGCGCCACATGCACGACCTGGCCCCCCAAACACAAGCACCAGAATTTCACACAGCGGGGGTTGAGCGGCGTATCTCTCACGTGCGTGAGAGTGCCGTAAGTCACATTAAGAAGGAGCAGTTACAGCCTGGCTCTCAACCCACCACTCCGCACAAGCATACAAAACTAAGCAGACTGCCAAACCACTACGCTCGGTGCACCGTGATCGTCTCAGACTCGGAGCAAACATGCAACAGAGGAGCCGCACGGAGACGGGGTCGGAACGCGCACTTCCCACTTGCGTGGGAGGTGACAGTTGGGTGCTTGCGATGGGTGATGTTGATGTGCGGTGAGATGGTGGTGAGGGAAAATGTGGTGGTGTGGTGTAGCCGGCTTGTGAATACCGCAGGTGACCTAGTAGGCCAATGAGATGGGCGAATATGCGGGGGCAGTGTGGACAGTGGAGGCGGATGCGGCAGGTGTGGGTGGTGCTCCTGACATTAGTTTGCCAATCTCTGTACGATGGATGCGCAAGTGTTCGACCAGGTTGATGCGTGAGGTGAAGGTGCGATCGTAATGAGGGTAGGTGTGGATAGAGTCCACATGACTGGGGTTGGCAGGGATGAGGTTGCTGTTTGATAATGCGTCAGGATTCTGTGCAGTGGTGGTGATGGCAGGAGTCGCCACATCAGATGTTAAGGCCGGAAAGATGGTGGAGGATGGCGGCGGGGGATAAGAAGAAGGGTTAGCGTGGGGGGCGAGGACCGGAGGACAGCGGCTGAAGTAGTCCGGGTGCTGCATTTCGTTTGGAGACGTCCAATAAGAGTGATTGGTGCCAGGAGCATCTGCTAACACCGTGGGCAGCATGGGGGCAGTTGAGCGTTGGTGCGGTGAGGAGGAGTAGTTGGCATTTGCGGGCTTCGCGTTTGACTTCGGCGGTGGTGATGCAGTTGGCCTCATAGATCGTTACGTCTGTTTTCAATGTCTCCCTCCAGATACGTCGGTCGGTCCCGGACGAGGTCTTCCTACATGGTCGCGCTGATATGCAGACGCTTCAAGGAAGTCTTCAGAGTGTCCTCGTATCAACGGACTTGGCCTCCTTGTCGGCGGGAGCCCGTGGTGACATCTCTATAAAAGAGACTTTTGGGTAGCCGCTCGTCGTCCATCCGCACGAGATGACCGCTCGAACGCAATTGCAGCTGTTTCAGCGTGGCGTAGACGCTGAGGATTCCCGTTCATTCGAGTACGTCTGTGTCCGAGATCCGGTCCTGCCATCCCAACTTCAGTGTCTGTCGAAGACAGCCGAGTTGGAAATGATTGAGTCTTCGCGCCTGTTTCTTGTACACCATCCAGGTTACCGCTCCATACAGCAGCGTCGGCAGTATGATCGCCTTACACTTCTTCAGTCTGGTGCTGTACATCTTGATTTTGGTGTTGAGGTGGAGACCGTGGCGATTCCAGACTACGTTTTGCAGGAGGCCAAAGGCTTGGCTGGCTTTGGAGGTCCGGTGGGACACTTCATCGTTGACCTTGGTGGTGCGAAAGGTGGTGCGGCCCAGGTAGGTGAATGTGTCCAAGTCGTGCTATTGTACGCTGTTCACGTTGGTGTGAGGTGCATTGTAGGCAGCGTCAGGCGGCGGTTGATGCATAACCACTATTTTCTCCGTGTTTATGATCAGGCCGAAGTTGTCGCAGGCTGCGGCGAAGAGGTCGATGCTCCTTTGCACGTCCTTTATGTTGCATTGAGGGCGCAGTCGTCGGTGATGAAAAGTTCATGGACGGTAGTTGTGGATAAACGCGACTGGAAATACATCCGGCGATGATTGTAGATTTGGCCGCCCGTCATGTCAGCGATGAGGATCCCAGTGCGCTTTTCAAGGTAGGCGTTCATTAGCCTGACATCATCTGGTGTATTCATGGTTTCATCAGCATCTGTGCGATAAATTCGCAGATGTCCAACCAGGCCGACAAACATACCAATCTAGACCGTCTTGACCGACTATGTCCACTGTGTGCTCCACTGCGTGGTGAGATCGGGGACGGTGACTTGCACATGATTTCTTTTATAATTATTGCAGACTAGCACCACACTACCGCACTCTCTTTCCCCATCCGGACTCACTGTCAAGGCACAATCAAAAAGACCGGAGGCGGGAGTGGGCCTACATGACTGACATGGTGAGAATCCGTGCCTAGGCGTGTCACCGCACCCGCACAATGAACCAGGATTCTACAGAGCAAGCACGCGGCAGCTCGGATTCAAACCGAAGCGAAGTACCGTAAAGGCCTTATTACGAATGCTTCATTGCAGCCTGTTTCTCCGCCTTGAGACGAGGACGGAGTCATAGCGTTCGTAGGCAGTCTTGCAAGTCACATCTTGCAGAGCACCCTGAGAGATTTAAGCGCGTCATAGTGCTTATTGGGAAGGATATGCGGTAAGGGAATCGACCTCAACCTCTCTTCCTTCCCCCCTCCACCATTCGGTTGTCCGAGCCGGTCAGTCGCGCCTCACACACGACCTAGTTCCCACACATCACCGGGTTTTTACACAAAGGCGTAGACTGCTCAGATTTCACATGCGTTAGAGTGGGAGAGGGGCCACATGGAAAGAAGGTCAAAGGGCAGGATTTCCACTTACGTGAGAGATATTGATTTCGTGCATAGTATGGGCGATGAGAGATGAGTCCATGTGTGGTGCATGTGCTGTGCTGGTCTGCGATGGTTTACCGCATATTATAATGGAGATGCAAATGACTGGGGAAGCCCATGCGGTGATTGGATGTGCGTGGGCAGTGTGAGCTGCAGACACCGGTCTGCCAGTCTCTGTGCGGTAGACTCGCAAGTAACCGACCAGACCGATGCATGATGTGCATGTTGAGTAAAAATGTGAATGAGATGGTTGGGAAGATACTGAGTCGGTTGCAGTGGTGGTGCTGCTAATAGTGGCCGCGCTGTTAAATAGGAAGTTGGTAGTGCTGAGATAGGAGGGTTGTCGGGAGTGCAAGGTGAGTTTGGCTTGTTAATATTGTGGTGAATTCCGCTGTCATGGATACATGTGTGCCCAGATGGGCTCATGCAGCGAGTAAATATGCGTGGACAGAGCGGAAAGTGAGGGCTGTTGCGGCGAGTGTACGTTGGGATTCCCTACCCTAGTGCGGCGGTCTCGAAGCGATGGATTCACAGATGACCAACCGGGCTGATGCGTGAGGTGAAGGTGCTATCACGATGGAGACAGGTTGGGATCGAGTTTGCATTGTTGGTGGTTGATGGGGCTTCGGTAGTGTTTCCATCGGTGGTGTGACGGGAGGAATAGCCGTTGATATAGTCGTGGCGGAGGTTATGGTAGAGATGATAGAGATGGTCGGCGGTGTCGGCGGCGGCGGCACATCAGGAGGGCGATCGCCAATGATGCTGATGGTTGCCATCATGGACGCTGTGGGGGCTTTAGGTTACCAGCTTTGAATCAGTAGTGCGGCTATCTAATTCCCTTATCGGCGTGCTCGTCACTTCTAAGGTAGAAAGTTCTGAGACAGGTGTTTTTGGTTAACATTCATGATTACTTTGGACTTAGAGGTTGCGCAATTTGCCTGCTCCTTTATGATAGGCCATAGGCGTTATCTTTCTGTCTTCCAAGTTTGTAACTTCTGTGACCTCGTATTCGCAGGTGAGCTGAGTGTTATGGAAGATTGAGTTCAACGTTGACTTTGAGGCCTGCCTATTGCTCCGTCTGTTTATACAGATGTGTCGTCAGCGTATACGGTTTAGAATCCCGGGCGGCATGACATAAAGATCAATCGTTACAACCTCGGCAAAACCGCTTCTATGGTCAGTTTGCCCGATGACACGCGCAGAAAAATTAGACGCGCCGAGTGTAAGGCAATGGCGACAGCAGTGAAGGAACATAAGCCACGAAATTCCACCAGCGGTTAGCCACACAAAGGCCAGAACCAATCGGTGACGACCGGGATGATTATGGTAAGAAGCTGAACAAACTTTGAGTAGCGGGAACAGCTACCCAAGCACTTTACCGATCGAGCCAAGGAAATTCTCAAAACCTAAACAGGAATGAACTTCGGTACATGTAAATACATACCCATACAGGAACGGATGCATACCGGTGCATTGACTTCCCAAGAAAAAGAGCTAAGAGTAAATGGCAGGAATCATGAAAAAGCAACCACCGGCAAGGCTGTCTTCATACTGCCAATCACAACCCTGACCACCGTCTGGGGCTAGAAACACAAGCTTACTCACGTACGCGGCGCAGATTATCTGTAGGCGACATATCTCAGACTGCCTATTAACCCTTTAACCATCCGAAGCCCACCAGTATATTACTACCTGACCTCATTTGTCACAGCAGATCGTGCAGTTAGTCACAGAGAGGTGAGGTGAATTGGCCGCTCGCTTGTCAATTTTCTGTACCGTTTGCTTGCGCATGTCTGTGCTTCTAGTCCCAGATAATTGAAAAGGGCACGGTTGGTTGAATAAATACAGAAGAAAATACCTAACCAGCACTATGTCAATCCGCCCGCACTTCCGTCGGAATATCGCCTGACATATATAAATAAAGGTGTTTGTGTGATCCCAATTGGGTCGCGTGGTAGATGTGCTGGACCAACATGGTGGCCATATCGGACTCTGGCAGGCGTTATCGGATTTCGCACCATAACAAATGTCGACATTTTGGGGTGCGGTGGCGGACCCGGTTGTCGGCAGACGTCGTGCACATTGGGGTCCCTGCCGCCCACCCAATTGCTGCTGTTGTTACAAACCTGGTAAATCTGCTGTGTGGACCAGGGAGCGTGGAGTGGGACGCCAAGGCAGGGCTCGAACGTGCCATTCACCTGCGCCCTCTCCCACCTCTGGTCTTCTTGACTATGTCTTGACGCCGAGTCCAGGTGGGGAAGGAGGAGAGAGTGCGGTAGATGCCGTGTAAGTATACAATCACTATAAACTAGTTCACTAACAAGTCGCCGTCCCTTCTCCACCCTGCTGTGGGGTACACGGCGGAGATTTTCAACAACAACGGTCGAGCTGTCGTGTGTGAGATGTAGGGGTGTCCGTCTGTGGGTCAATGTGACGGTCGAAGTAGGTCGTTCACTTGCTTTTAGGTGCAGACTACACCTGGCGTCCATTTACTGGCATTCAGCTCTCACATGTGGCTCCCCGAAGCTGGGCTCTGTCTAGCGGCCACACCCCGGTAACCGCCTCGACCGGCGGGCTAAACCAGATGAGAGTATCCATACGTGCATCTCCGCACACGGTAACTTGTTTCCGCTGGCCGGGTGGATCACCGCCTCGGTATCTCCGAGACAAGACTCCGTCTGCAGCACCACAGGAGGCCACAGGGTATGTGAGCCCCCAGGTAAGCGAACATTGCTCTGCCGTCTTTACTTTGCTTGTTCTTGCTTGATTGATCCTGTCTACTTTTTGTGTCTGTCCTTGTTGTAAGCAAATGCCGTTCCGTTGAATTTCATCTGTCTGCCTTTGCTTCGGCTTGTTCTTGCTTGCCTGTCCTTCGTCTGCTTGGTTCTGTTTGTATTTGCCGTACACTAACTGCCGTTCCTTTGAATCTGTTTGCCCACCGAACATATATCACAGAAACCAGTTAGCCTTGGGAGGGACGTGAAAGCTCTTCTTCCCGTCTCGCTACGCGTCCATCATCCCTCCCTCTTCCCACTCAAAAGTCCTACGGCGATGTCGCACGCAGGCCCAGGCTAACTCAGGCCAATAGCGCACTACACAAAAGTCGTGGCCCATAGTGGAGTTTGGCAGCTTTCTGGGACAACTAAGTAGCCCTATTGAGGGGGATCACTGCTCACCCCTGCGAGAGGGAAGGGGCTAGAAAACAAATGCTGGGGACCCACGCCGTCTGCAGGCTGACCGTGGCCTCAAACGCAAAACTCACGGTTAAAACAACCAAACAATAAACAATACTCTCTGTATTCCCCCTCCTCATCGTTACCCCACTCGCCGGTCTGGAAGGGTGATTCCGCTAACTCAGGCAGCCTGGAATATTCGCTCCCTTTTAGACATCGTGGGACGACTGCCCTGCCTGTCGCAGAGTATCAACGATCGTCTGATGAGCCTACGCCTGCCTCTCCGAGGAAGCAAATTCGCCACCACCATCAGTGTCTAACTTTCCCCGATGACCAACCCTGACGAGGCGAGGAACAAATTCTACGAGGACTTGCATGCCCTCCTGGCGTCTGTGCCAAAGGCGGATAATTTGATTATCCTTGGTGACTTTAACGCCCGCGTCGGCACAGACCATTCTGCCTAGAGAGGAGTGCTGTGTCTCATGGTCTCGACAGCTCAAATGGCAGTGGTCTGCTCCTTCTATGAACCTGTGCAGAATACCAGCTCATCCCAACCAAAACCTGCTTCCGCCTCCCGATGCTGGGGGAAGACCACCTGGATGCATCCTCGGTCGCGACACTGGCACCTGCTAGATTATGTCCTCGTCCGGAGGCGAGACCAGTGGCACGTGCTGGTGAAAAAGACCGTCCCAGGTGCCGACGGGTGGAGCGAACATCGTCTCGTCATCTTCGAGATGCGGATTCGCCTATAGCCCCGCAGGAGACCTCAAGGCAAGCGAACCCCAGGTAAGCTGAATATTGCCTTGTTGTCTTTGCCTGCTCACCATCTCCATTTCAGCATCGGGTTATCTCAACGACTAGTAAACATTCCAGTCGCCGCCGTCGACGAGAGCGCCTTCGTGGAGAACCCATGGTGTGAACGGCGGGACATAGTCCAGTCGACGACCCTCGCTGTCCTCGGTCGCGCACGACGCCAATACTAGGGCGGGCTCGATGACAACGACGCCGCTATCAACAGTGCTCGCCGAGAAGAACCGCCTGTACAAAGCCTACGTCGAACCCCCACCGACGACAACAAAACAACCTTCTACCGTAGTCTCCGCCTTGTGCAACAACGGTTTCGAGAGATGCAGGACGCTTGGACGGCTCGGAAGGCTGGAGAGATCCAAAGGTACGCGGATCGCAGCGAATGGAGGAATTTCTTCCCCGCGATCGAGGCTGTCCATGGCCCGTCAACCAAGACAACTGCTCCTCTTCTCAGCGTCGACGGCAGTACCCCACTCACCGAGAAGATACAAATTCTCCAGCGATGGGCCGAACACTTCAGAGGCGTCCACCATCTCAGACGCCGCTATCGCCCGTCTGCCTCAAGTGGAGACCAACACCGACCTCGATCTCACGCCCCATTTGCACGAAACCATTAGGGCCGTGAAGCATCTCTCCAGCGAGAAAGCCCCCGGATCTGACGCGATTCCTGCTGGGATCTACAAGCACGGTGGCCCCTAACTCACTGATCATCTAAAGGCGCTTTTTAGGGGATATGGCGTCAAAGAAAAGTTCCTCAGGATTTCAAGGACGCCACAACCATGCATCTCTATAAGCGATAAGGTAACCAACAGTTCTGTGACGACCATCGAGTCATCTCCTTGCTGAACATCGTCGGGAAGACCTTTGCTCGCATTCTTCTCAACCGCCTGAACCCCCATCCGAAACAAGGTCTCCTGCCGGAAAGCCAGTGCGGCTTCCGCGGTCATCCTGGACCCACCGACATGGTCTTCGCCGTCCGTCAACTGAGAGAAAAGTGTCAGGAGATGCGGATCCACCCCTACTTTACCTTCGCGGATTTGACGAAAGCCATCGGCACGGCGAATCGCGAAGGACTGCGGAAAATCATGCAGAAATTTGGCTGTCCTGATAGATTCACTCAGATGGTGCGTCGGCTCCACGATGGCATGATGGCACGCGTCACGTAAAACGGAGCCTTCGCAGGGCATTCAGAGTGACCAACGAGGCGAAGCAGGGCCGCGTCCCCGCGCCTTCCCTCTTCAGTCACATGTTCACCACCATACTAACGGGCACTTGCCTGGACGAACGCACCGACATCCTCGTCGCTGCCATGACAGACGGCCAACTCCACAACCACCGACAGATGCACTTCCAGTCGCGTGTATCTACTACGACCGTCCATGAAATTCTCTTCCCAATGACTGCACCCCCAACGCCACCTCAAAAAGGGACATGAAAGGGAGCATAAACCTCCGGGGACATCGTCGTCCGGGCCATAAACACGGAGAAAACGGTGGTTATGCATCAGCCGCCACCTGACGCTGCCTACAATGCACCTCACACCAACTCGAACGGCGTACAATCGCACGGCTTGGACACATTCACCTACCTGGGCCGCACCCTCTTTCGCACCGCCAAGGTCGACGATGAAGTGTCCCACCGGACCTCCAAAGCTAGCCAAGCCTTCGGCCGTCTGCAAAACGCAGTCTGGAATAGCCACGGTCTTCACCTCTACACCAAAATCAAGATGTACAGCACCAGACTGAAGAAGTGCAAGGCGGTCATACTGCCGACGCTGCTGTATGGAGCGGTAACCTGGATGGTGCACAAGAAACAGACGCGAAGATTCAATCATTTCCAACTCGGCTGTCTTCGACAGATACTGAAGTTGGGATGGCAGGACCGGATCTCGGACACAGACATACTCGAATGAACGGGAATCCTCAGCGTCTACGCCACGCTGAAACAGCTGTAAGTGCTTTCGAGCGGTCATCTCGTGCGGATGGACGACGAGCGGCTACCCAAAAGTCTCTTTTATAGAGATGTCACCACGGGTTTCCGCCGACAAGGAGGCCAAGTTCGTCGATACAAGGACACTCTGAAGACTTCCTTGAAGCGCCTGAATATCAGCTCGGCCAAGTAGGAAGACCTCGTCCGGGACCGACCGATCTGGAGGGAGACATTGAAAACAGACGTAGCGATCTATGAAGCCAACTGCATCGCCGCCGCCGAAGTCAAACGCGAAGCTCGTAAATGTTGACTACCCCGCCTCACCGCGCCAACGCTCAACTGCCCCCATGCTGCCCACGGTGTTAGCAGATGCTCCTGGCACCAATCACTCTTATTGGACGTCTCCAAACCAAATGCAGCATCCGGACGTAAATGACTGATGCGTTCTTGTGCTCGTCTGCCCAGCCTCCCATATCGATTGCTGTAGAGGTCGCAAACCGCTCAGTGACAAGACCTTTGACGAAACGACGAAGCAACCGCGCGCCGTGTAAGATACGAGGCCGGCTGCGACAGATTGGATCTAAGAATCAATTAGCATCCGCCGAAGTGTCCAGCACGGCTGATACATTTGTTCACGCATGTGGCCGATCGAATATTTAATATTTTTTTGCAATGGTTTCGCGCGCAGGACCCGGACAATCGACGACCGCCACGTGACAGGCCTGGAGTTTCTAGAACCCTCACCGCGAGTTGACGAACGATAGGGTGGAACATTTTAGAACGCTGAGGGTACCAGATAAATAATGCAAGTTTGGATAAGAAAAAACCACCTAGTTCGCAGGCTGTCAATAGAGTGCTTGTTTTCCGAACCGACTGTCTTCCTGTTCCACCTACTTGTTCTATCGTAATACAATAAGCAACTTTAATCGTACACCTGATCCTGCGTCGCCATCCTCTCCACCTATCCGCCCTTCCATGCACCGAACTCTATTCGGTGTCGCCCGCAGCTATGAAATGCTCAGCAGCCTCACCCCGGTAACCACCTTAAATAACTGGCTAGACCAAACGAAGTTATTCACCGTTGTGCGCCACCTCTTCCGATAATTTTTCTCCGCTTCCTTTTCCTCGATTGTTTATATGCCTTAAAAGTCGTACGGGATAGGGACTTTAGTGAAATTCTGGAAAATTACGAAATCTGAAACTAGGACGCGGCTCATAAATATAGGGGTTGTGGTCAAAACAGCCAAGCAAACGGGAACTCTCGGTTCCATCTCATCTGCTTCACCCCACAGGCTGCTCATCCTGGCAGCCTAAAACATTCGTTCTCTCTAAGACAACCCGTAGACAGTTGAGAACTGGCGGGTCACATGGAGAACATCGCTGTCCTCAGCAGTTCTGCGAACATTGCCAACTGGTGGAGGTTTATGCCGACTACGCCTTCTGGAGCAACCGCCCAAGCTCAGATCGCTGTCATGCTGGCGTAGAATTTATCATCCGGAAGGACATCGTAGGTAGACTGCCCTATCTGCCGCAGGGCATTAAGGACCGTCTTAGAACCCTACATCGGACTCCTCTGGAACCAACTTCGCCAATATCATCATCTAGAACGAACAACATTGATGAGACGAAGAAAAAATTATGCGAAGACCTTCATGCACTCTTGGAGGCTATGTCGAAGGCAGACAAGCTGATTGCCCTGGGTGAATTCAGTGCCTACGTCGAGACAGACCGCTTTACCAGATAATTGTTGGGTTCCCACGGAATCTGCGGTTGCAATTAAAACGGTACCTTAGTTTGCGAACTATTATAAAATACCGCCTTCTCCACACCAATATTATTCCGCCTTCGGACGCTGGAGAATGTAACGTGGATGTATCCCCCGTTTACGCTAATGAAAACTGCAGGAATATGTCCTCGTCCTCAGATGAGACAGTCACGACATGTTGGTGGCAAAGTCAATATGTAACGATGACAACCGAATAGATCAGCGCCTCGTCAAGTCCACGATGAGGCTCCGGCTGCAGCAACTTAGCGGACCGTAAGGTAAGGTCCCACAGGGTAAGTTAATTAATGTTCAGTTAAAGTTGTCTGCTCATTGCCTTGAGTTCAACAATCGGCTGACTCAGTGCCTGGAAGAAATGCGGATCCCAGGGAACGACGGAGTGGAGGAGAGGCAGTTCGTACCACTTCCACTAATGCTTAAGTTCGCGGACAATTTCAACATCAAAAATGGGTCAAAGACGACGACAAACTAATAACCGACCTGCTCTCAGCGGAGAATAGGCCGCATAAGGCCTCCGTTAACCGCGGGAAAGACGCTAACAAAACGACCTTCCTGCAATGGCGTCGCCTGTTGAGGATGTCTGGAGGAATCCGAAGCCGAAAAATACAAGTATTCGAAGAAGACAATGATACGAAGAATGTTTTCGTAGGCATTAAAGTAGTTAACAGTTCCCCACACAAAGGACCCGCGCCGATACTCAGCCCTGGTGGAACAACAATCGTTATTGAGAAATCGCAGAATCTGAAGCAATAGGCTGAACCCATCGGTACCGTCTTCAGCCGCCTATACACGATCTCCGACGTCGCCTTCTACTGACTCTCCGCGTGAAAACTAATACTAACCTGGGCCGTCTGCTTTCATATCTAGAAACTGTCAAAGCTCGGGGATCCTACTCAATCCTGGCTGAACTCTTCAATCTCGACGGCCTTCGGCTGATGGATAGACGTAATTCGCTATTTCAAGTGGGAGGGGTTGGTGTCGAGGATAAGGTTCGCAAGACTTTGCGTTCTCAATCACCGTAGACGTCAGCCAAATCAATAATACCCGGCAGATCTGTGAAATCCACAGAGGAATCTTGTTTCTCGACATAGACCGAAGATCTTTATTGGTATCCTCCTCAATCGTCTCAACTGTCATCTGGAGCATGGAATCCTTTGGGAAACCAGTGCGGGCCTCAACAAATCTGCAACACTGTCGGCATGATCTACTCGGTCCGACAACTTCAGGAGAAGTGCCGTAAATTCACATCGCACTCTCTACGACTTGTTCGACACCGTGAAAAACAATGGACTGTGGATGAACATTCGGAAGTTCGAATGACCGCAAAGCTTCACTTTCCTGGCGCATTGACTCTGCGACGGGAAGATGGCGTGCGAATCAGACAACAGAACATTCTAGAAAACATTTAGGGTCTAATAAAACAGGATCGTGTACTCGCTCCCACCTCTCCAATTCATGTTCTCTGTTATGCTCACGGAACATACGGCGATGAATGCCCTGAGACCGACATCTCCTTTAGGACCGAAAGACAACTGCGGACCTCACAGTGCATGTAAGTACAATCAAGAGTATTCCAGATCAACACGTTCGGGCTTTTGCATCCCGAGTACTGCGCAGCCAATACAACGATGAAAATGGTCATGCAAAGAAGCGCAGACCTCTTCATTTCCGGTTGAACCAACTTCAGATTGACCATCATTATAGAAGGAGGCAGTGATACTACATCAACCGACGCCAGACTGACTACATATAACCGCACATCGCCGGCATTGGAACCTAACTCACAATTGTGGACAAATAAGCATACCAAGGCACAACATTTTCACAGAATGCCGGGACAGAAGAAAACGTGGTTCACCGGACCTCTAAAGTCTGGAATCACAGGTAACTACGCTTGGACAACAAAACTCAAGATATACAGGGCGATAGTCGTGACGACGCTGCTCTACGGGAAGGAAACATAAACATGTACTTCGACCAAGACAGGGAGATGAACCATTTCCACGCCTGCTGTCTCCGGATGATAGTAACGTCAACTAGTCAGGACAAGATTCCCAGCACGGAAGTCGTCGAACTGACCGGAATCCTTAGCCTTCATGCCCTGCTGACACAACTGTAACCGCGTTGGAGCAAAAAGCTCGTGAAACGAGGCATGATGAAGAGAAGGGGGATGAGTATTGCTTGTTTAAGTATTTTTACGACATTTTTACGCCTAAATATTACGATCAAAATACGGGGGCCTATTTATCAGCAGTTATATTTGAAAAAAGAAGTAAGAATTATTCACCATTACCGCGAGAACACATCCCAAATACGTCATTTCTTGACACGTGGTGAGCGTTTTAAAAGCAGTTGGCTAAGATGCGAGAATCTCAAATAGGGCACTCATGCATACGTAATATTTTTGCGCGGCCTCCGAATCGGACAACCATAAAGCGTTTGTAACAGAAGTCCTTCCCATAATCTAAGGGTCATGTAAATATCGCATCTGTAATTTTTCGAAAGCTCGCCACGTGAGTATTGGGATGTTCATAAACACCATCGCGCCTTCTAATTTAAGTCAGGGATAAAACTGGATAACGTAACAAGGGAAAGAAAACAGTCTACAGACCACACAGAACTGCACTTCTGCTCGAAAAGGCATTAAGACTTGACTGACTGAAGCAACTAGTAAAATTTGCAGAGTAACTTTCGAAAGTCCAATTTTTTTAACCTTAAAACCTACCTGCGAACGGCTGCAGCGGATGGCATCGGTCCAAAATGTTGACTATGCTGCAGAATTGTGGTTCATTGTTACTGCCAAATTAATACCGGCGAAATCATGCTTACGAGCTTCTCGAGTGGTATGCTATGAACGCTTCTCAGTCGCCGGCGTTTTCTGGGCTTTTCGAAAATAGAATTTCAAGTTCTGCACCAAGCTGATATTAGACCGCAAATCAAATAATGCTCAAGAGCATAGTTCCTTTACCTTATGCATGACTATAGCACCGGATAGATAGAGAGATACTCACTGAACGAATGTGTGCAGAGTTCAAGAAACGAGGTAATTAGACATGAGAGGAAAGGGGAGAAAGTAGACCATAAGGCGCTGATTAGGGTTATATTCCCCTACGCAGATTTCCATCCACTCCCGCGCACTTCCTAACAAAACGCGGAAAATCGTAGTGCATACGCCTTACATCCCACATAAACTAATTTCT